CATCTAAGTGGTGGGATGCTTCAAAAAGCCTTCAGGTTGTAATGTATTCCAACTTGCATTGCAACCAGCAAGGGGCCCTGCATCAAACATCAATTATTGGCATCTCACTCAATGTACTATGATTTAACTAAAAACTAATGTTTCACCACATTTCTATTGTAGCTTAAATTCAGAAGATGGCTATTTTTCAGTGCTGCTGCAACCCTTTTCACCTGGACCCATGGCTTATTTTTCCAACAGTGACTTGTATGCAATTATGATTGTTTGCCAGCAGGGAAATTGTCAAAATGAACTTGAGGAAGTAAAGAATCTCATATTTCTGTCTCATCATTATCTTGAAGTAAACAGGCACCCTCTGTCTTGTAAGGAGAAGTAACAAGGGGTCCTTAATCCAAATTATGTGCTAAGCTGAGTTATCTTTGATGGGTAGGGTGGCTAAAAAGAAAAATCTATATCTTGGAATATTTAGTGCTTTCTCTGAAGTCTGAACCTTGATTTTGTTTGACCTTTAACTTTGGTTTAATTTCATTAATTTTTCTTTATTAATTGGCTACTGCAGTGTACCATAATACTGTACAATGACAGAATGTTAGCCACTTCAAGGCTTGATCATGATCCATTAGTACTGGTTGTCCCAAAAAGAGAGATTTTAGTATGAAGAGATAGAAAACATAACTTGAATCCTAACTATTTACATATATTAGATGATTGAGCACAAATTATTAGTTCTCACTTCTCAATATAATTGCAATGAAACTCTAAATACCCAAGAGGAAGCAGCGGACAACTGTTATATTTTGTTGTGGTTCAATGTATAGACAGACATTTACTATGAGACAATTTTAAAATCTGATTGACATGATTGAGTTATGATTCACCGTGTATTGGCATTTTATAAATGTTGAAACAGGATATTCACTGTAGATAAGTTGGAAAAGTGAGTGTAAATAACATTAACCGCAATGTAAATTTTCAGCAACTGTTAAAATAGTAAAACAAGAAACTGTAGTGCACTAAATGAGATACTAGTACACACGTTCCCTATATTATTGATTCAAATGCGCCAAGCTTGTTGAACAAAATAAAATGACCAATCCCCTATCAGTCAACCGTAGTGGCACTGAAGTAAAACTTCAGGATGAGAGAACAGAGAGTGGAAAAAGAGCATACACCACCCTTTCCAAAGAGCACCTGCAGCGGCTCATAATGTTTTGCATTTTGCAATAGCATGAGCATCATTATAACCTTTCCTCAGAATCCCTATCTCTGTGTGTAGACATTCATGAAACTGTGGTAGCTAGATGACCAAAAATAATAAAAAAATTTAATGAAGTGGTAACCATGGATTGTTATCTACATACTTAAGTCTAGATTGTATAAATTGAGTCGAAAATCATAGCACATAACACCAAGATCGGCCAATATTTTGCACTGTAGAAAGTTGTAGAAGTTATATATCATAAAGAACTTTATTTGCGGCCTTGTGGGAGAATGGCAATGGTGACCAGTGCACCAAAAGTGAAATCCCATATCCCCTTTGTAACTTAATCACTGGCCCAATTTTAACCGATTTTTGGATGATTTTTCCATTATAGACATTGAAGTGAACATCCAAAATTATTTTCCGAGAAATTAAAGGAAGCCATTTTTTCACGAGTAAGGTTATATTTACAAATTTTTTGTTTACAAACTACACTAATTATAACCGATCATACTTCAATCAAGAGTGTATGACCGATCATACTTAGTATAATTTGTAAAAAAAAATTGTAAACGCGTGCTTCCCCCTTTTTCACTAATTTGATAGAGGAGATATTTTTTTTACTAGGTAAATGCAATTACCAATAATATGGTAAGAAAATGAGTTTGGTAGAAAAGTTAAAAAAAAGTTGTTTGGTTGGTCAAAATTTTACCTGAAAAATTGGGTTAATTTTTGTGAGTCTTTATTTGGTTGAAAGTGAAATAATGATGGATAAATGTGTTGAAATACCGAAAATAACCCTTGATATTTCAGAAATATATAGACATGTGTACTTAGAAGAGGATAATATAGTAACACTCTTCATTCACCTTTTTGTAATTTAGCTAATTTTCTAGAAATATCATATTCAAAGTGGTGAAGTTCTACCATGATTCGCTTTTGGTTTTGCACATGTTTGACAAAGGATGGGGAAAAGAGAAGCATAGCTAAAAATTTTTAATCTTAGCAATCATCGAATACCAATTCAAGATAGACGGAGAACCAAATGAAAAGCTTTAACCAAACTTCTTCTTAAGAGAAATGTAGCAATCATTGGGATGGTTAACTGTTCATGTTTTTGAAGGGTCTTCTTCTCCCTAGGAATATTTGACTATAGCAGTGAATGACATGCTGATGTGACAACGGAATTTCTGGGGAGTGAAAACCGCAATAAGCATTCTGTATTGGAAGACTTTGAAACTTGAGTAGTCACTTAAACGAATGAAGAAATTTTAGCTAGTGCTTGGTGGAATTTGACTTTTTGGGACAACTGACCCGCATAGAAGCTAATATGAAGCTATGGCTCCTAGCGTACTAATCACTCTAAGGAAAGAGTGGAAGTTTTGAGTTACAAGTGGAACTAATCATTTTTTATTTTATTTTTTCATTTAATGATTTTGATGTTTGAGATAAATTAAATGGGATTCACCAATTTTTTAAAAAAAAAAAAGAAAAAAAAAAAGTGAGACACGTCTTTTTATGTGAGTGTAAAATAAGAGAGTACTCTTATGTGACATAAGAGTATAATTTCCCTAAATAAAATATGGGAAAAAACAAGTCAGTTTAAGAAGAAGTGTGAGAAAGACATGCCTCCACCACTTCCTCCATTTTTTTAAAACCATATAGAGAGTTTGAGATAATGAGAGTGCCATTATGATAGAACGAGTGATTTAACAAGGACAATTATTAAATTTATTTGTTTATGAAACGCATGTTTAACAAGATTAGTCTCAGGCAGAATGGATCACAAGGTGTGGGCTCAACTGACAAATTAAATTATTATATGAAAGGATTTAACAAATAGTGTAAGAATTTGAATCCCACTAAAAATACCATTTTAGTTAGAAACACCATCAAATACCTAAGCAGGGATTACTCACATACTAAAGGTATAGTAATATTTGATAGGAGAAAAAAATAAGTCTGCATAGAAATGGAGCTTTTGTGTGTGTATGTGTGTTATACATGTTTTTTATTCCACAGTAACAGTTGATTTGATGTGAGTAGTCCACGATGACTAGTTACCAAGATATTCCTTCCTATTGATAATTGGTTTATAGAAAAATTATATCATACCCAACTTCTTTTTTCCATATCTTGAAGAAATTTGAATTCATACATTTTGTTATATCAAAAGTTTACAACACAAAACCCTACCGAACAGACAAAAAGTGAAACACTTGAAAGGCCTAAATGATCAACTCAGTTTACAGCCATGCAAAGAGGACAGCGGGAATCTTATTTTTTTCTAGAATGGTCCATAGCCTATGGACTCTATTTCATATCATCAACATAGAACTCATGTCCCACCCTACTTGGCTCTTTCCCTTCAACCGCTCAACTAACGTCTGAATTGAATCACATTATCAAGATAGCAATTTTATCATCTCAAGTACAAGTTGTGATGGTCGTTTCCTCTTCTTTGAAATTCCATTTAAAAAAAAAGTAAAAAAGAAAGAAAGAAAAAACTATATTTAAAGTTGAAACTAATATTTCTTTGCCTATTTAAGACATGTGTATGAGAAAGAGAAATGTTTGATCACCCTGTTTCGGGATGACTACATTATGCTGTTAAGACAGATCAAAATGTGGAATTTGGCAAAATAAAATCTTGCATGATTAGCTTTCTCTTGGGGGATCATCAGAAAGAAAGATGCTTGTGTACTTGAAAGTAATGCACCAAACCAATCAAACATAACATGCGACGCATAAATTGAATTTATGCCATTAGATTAACTATAGTAAAATATAAACCGTTAGATGTATGACAATCAGGATATGTAAGAATCACTCTCAGTCACAAGGACATAGCTTTCTTTTTGCATAACAAGTGTGTTACAGTCTGCGGTGGAGCCATGAAGCCACACAAACGTTATCTTCAGAGGATCACGTTGTGGCCAACGTGGGTCACTTCATAAGAAGTCAAATGTTTCATGCAATATAAGGATATGGAGAGACAATAATTTCAACCTAGAATAAAGCGTTTGATGAGAGCCTGGTGCAGTTTGTTCCAAGTTAAAATCTTAGTGCGTCGTATCATATAGTTTGCTGAATACACCAACTTTGATAAAAGCCTAAAGGCTAAAAAGCCAGCACTTGTTTTGTGTCCACCCCCTCTGCTCGCTATTGCACGCTCAAGTATACAGATAAAATCATCGCGTTTTAGAAATTGTATTTCTCCAATATAATTTTTTTTCAGAACATCCATATTTTTTTTTTCCAAACCCTAAAATAATGAGAAACACTTTTCCCTTTTTTTGAACGTATATTTTAAACAAAATAATGATTATTTCTTTTAAAAAAAAATACAAACAGTCCTACATTAAACTATTTAATTAGTTTTGAGATCAAATTTTTAGCAGATGCACATTCTTAACAAAGTGGAAAATGCTTCTATAACTTTTTATTGGCTCATGAACTCGACAATGAGTATTAATTCGTTTTGAAATCTAATAAAACTAATTTTCAAAGGATTGTCTTGACATTAAATACCTAATTCTTATCAATTATGTATCATTTTTAAATAACTCATAATTACCGTAAACCAATTTTGCTATACGTGCTATTACTTATGTAATACAAAATTGTACTCAAGAATATTTTAAAAAATTAGAAACATAATCAATAGTTGTAAAAAGACAACTAAGAGTGTCAATACGACAATAACTATGCAATTGTCATTGCTCAACAGCTTATAGTATTGCATGATTTGTATTACAATTCAAGTTCCTGCCTCTGTCTGCAGGTATCACAGCAAATATTAGAACATTTTAGAACTAAAAGAACTCTTCAAAGCCAAGTTCAACAGATTCTAAACTTAAAAGAACTCTTCAAAGGGGTTTTTCTTTTCTAAGTTAAACATCATCAACAACAACATCACCTTAAAGGTTTCATCGCATAAATATAGTTGTTTTCTTTTAAGGTCAACTCGCTACACCTTAAAATAAAATAAAAAGAAAAAGAAAAATGTGGCATTACAACAGATAAAGAGGATTAATTCAGCAACAATTGTGTATTGGGAAAGCCTTCTTTCCATTATTTATTGTTCATGGTGTAAGATAAGACGTTTACCAAGCTAAAATAATGTATGATGTAAAATAGTTGATTCATTCTGAGGCAGCTTTATGTAGCTCATCCCAGGTGGCTAGTTTTTCCCTTGGCTTGTTCCTTGAACTTCCATGCCTCCTTTCTTCAGAGTCTATCCTTTCCCAATCATTGAATGAAACTATTTTGACATTTCTCTCATGTAGAAGCTGGAGAAGACCCTCCCTGCCGAGTTTTGGCAACGCCGATGATGAAATCAACGCTCCTTTTTCGAGGTCTTCTGATATGCTCGAAACCTATAATGTCAATTGTCAGCAGAAAATACAATTACAATGTTCTAATTAACCAAAGTCTTAATTAAAATTCCCAAGTAAAAACAGTGTGTTTCAATCTTTGTGAATTTATGAATCCTAAGGAGGGCTCTAGATTCTCTAATTTGAAGTTTAGAGAGAAAACTCGATAGGATGAATTTGTGTGTCTATAATGCAATCCTGAATTGTTCCTAATTGATTCTACAATATACGCATAATATCCTATCATAAATACTCAATATATTGTAACACTCCCTCTCAAGTTGGTGTGCATATGCATATGCATCCAAGGCAATTTAGTATGACTGATTTCATTTTCACCTTTCTGCTTCTGTCAGTTTGTTTTTGGAATAGTATGAATAGAAATGTAAGAGACACATACAGTTTCTTCAGCGCAATATAGGTTTGTGGCAATAATCCCAGTTGGTCCTCTCTTCAGCCAACCACATACATACAAGCCCTCTTCAATAACTGTAGGATCTGAAGTGTCACTCAACACTCGACCTCTAACATTTGGAACTATACCTGAAAGGTAGCCATCATATATACGAGTATGAGCTCCTGTCAGATGACTCATTTACATACACCAAGCTATCATGTTTCTTGGCCAATGTCTGAAAAAACCAATGCAATGTTTTTTATAAAGAATAATTTATTAACAAAAGGAAACACTACAAAGCAGGAGGGTCAGGAATCCTCCAAAGTCAAAGTCCTAAAGCTACAACGAAAAAAAAAAAAAAAAAAAACCAGAGGAAAGGAAGTAAATAAAACTACATTAAAGCAAAAGAGCAACCGGATCCACTTACAAATCCTACCTAGAAACATCCTTTAAAAGACGACTACACAAGAGAAACACACTAGTTCAATTAGTATCTAAAATTTTTGTTCTTAACCTTTAAGAGTTAGGCCATCCAATTATTGTTCTGTTGTCACTTAAAAACTTCTGATCAACTAACAAGTCTGCTTGGCCACAGTGAATCAAACAATATATTGTACCCACCCAGCGGCCAAAAAATTAAACAAAATCACATCCTAGGGTAAACAAATGCAGAAGATATTTTCAAGAGAACATAAACTTCATCTAAAACCATAGGAACAACATAACTACTTCACTTATTTCCAAACCTTTAATATTTTACACAGGCCATCTTCCCAAAACCAGCAGCAATTTGTCTAAAATAAATCATATTTTGAAAATAAACATTGATTTGAACAAGGATTTTCCGCAAGAAAATAAAATGTATGAAAACTGAAAGAATTGAGAACATCCATTAGTCATTCACCTTTCTTATGATCAAAAGGTAAGCCATCAACTGGTACTGATTTGTAACCAATGCTCTTAAGTACCATCCTACACAAAGCCAGCAATTAGCAATATACCTGATTAAGTAGTCTCAACATTTCGTGATAACAACGCAAGAATAAATTACCGATAGAGGTTGCAATAAGTCATTTGAAGAGCATAATGTCAATCTCTCTATTATATGGAGGATATGGAGTATTGTAAACCTTGGATCTTTGATTACAACAATACCAGCAGAAAGGATTTCATGCCAAGTGATGACAATTTTTACAACTAAGAATATTAGTAATTTTATGTGGTTTCCAGGGTGGAAGATGATACCCGCATTTTATATCTTCAAACTCTCCAGTACCAATAGCAATCTGTTTTCCAGGGCCAGCACCTGCAACATTAAGTTGACTAATTACAAGTAATTCTTTCACAAGAATAGACTATTATGGGCTCAAATATGCTCATATTTAGCAAAGATTCAAGAAAGGCTTATATTTAATATTTTAGGAAAGCCCAGTAGTGTATATATCTGCACTTGTATTACTAAAAGAAGTTGTGCCAATTTATAACATTTAACCATATTAAATTACATTATTTCCCATGCTGTAAAGTTTAACTTCAAAGTGACAAACAACAAAAATTACCTTTAACAACTGTTTTCTCCAAGTGCACGCCAGAAACATGGCCAGTTCTGTCTTTTGACTCTTGAAAACTATCTGGTTTTCGGAAGAAGACAAAGTGGAGCTCACGTTGATTCAAACTGGCAGGTTTTGGTCTTGAGGTAGCTGCCTTAGAAAGCAACTCACAAACTCTTCTCTTTATCCGGTTACTCTTTAGTTCTTCCTTTTCCAAGAGACAGGATAAAAACATTGATAACATCAATGAAAAGTAACCCAAGTTTTTTTCAAATAAAAAAATTGAAGCGTAACATACTTACAAATAGAAGATACAAAACAGTATATTAAAACTTAAAAAACAGCAATTAGAAAACAAATACTACTTGGAAATTCTCATATTTTTATGTTTTTTGGGTGAAGATTGTTGAAAGATAGTAGTGAAAGAATAAAAATCAGATGCATCTTATATACCTCTTCTGTTGGGTTTAAAAGTAGATCACATTCCTGTATGGAAATATCAAGATTACGAATACCTGTAAATAGATATCAAAGCTTCAGTTAGTGTCATGTGTGGGACAGAAATCGCATAAAACCCAGAGTGGATGACAAATAATAAATTGATTAAATGTAAATTAGGATGGGAAAACAATATAATGTGCCAGATGGTGGGACAAAAAACATGATCAGGGTTCCATTTTCAGTTCAAACTGTAGCTTAGGGTCTGTAATGGTTTGAAACCAACAATTAATCAGCAACTAGAAACAGGTGTAGAGTAAGTAGCACCAGTAAATATTAGAAAAGGAAACAAAATAAGATACTGAAATCATGGAAATCAATGGAGAATCAGAAGCTAAATAGACAAGGCGATGGATAGGCATGCATATTGAGAAGTACTAGTTTACAAAGGAAACTTCTGAGTCTAACAAACAAAACCATTATGGAGTACATCATATAGCCCAGGTGTGCCCCCATTCCAAACATTCTACAGAACAGCACCAAAATCAAAGTGCCAACCAAATATGTATAAGAAAACAGAAAGGCTAAATTAAACTTGGTATAAGAGTTGATTCAAAAGTTACCAAGAACTTCGCGTAGTTCTTTTGCAGTACAAGCTGCTTGGGCTGGACCACGTCTTCCAACCAGATAAACCATCCTGCAATATTGTTCATATTACAGATAAACAACATATGGAATATCAACAAGACTATCAGGCTGCTTCAAATAATGCAGCTAAAAACCTGATAGAGCTCTCCTCTAAAGTAGCCAAAGCATGACTGGCAATATCAGTTGTTGCTAACTCTGTAGTAGGTCGTAAAAGAATGCGTGCAACATCCAGAGCAACATTTCCCTGAAATTCAATGAAACCAGTTATCTACAAAACCTTAAATCCATTTTAAAAATTTAATCTATATATTCTGGAAATTCGTCTCCTCAAAGAGGTTCTCAACATTCATTACAAGTGACTTTTCATAGAAAGAACATAATACGGTGCTTGCTCAACTAAGACTCGCTATAAGATTTCGGCACCCTAAGAATCCACAAGGTGAAGTTACCTGACCAAGAATTACAGCTGTATCAGTGCTCTTCAGGTCTGGATCAAGATTTCGTCCATCTGGGTGTCCATTATACCACCAAACAAACTCTCTAGCTGATTGTATCCCTTTCAAGTTCTGCGAAGGAAAAGAATATAAAAAGACAGTAAAATAAAAGTAACTCAAACTATCAGGCTATCAGCTAATGCACAATTATCGCATAATAAATGAGCATTAAGCCATCACTTATACCACAGGGAATATCAATGAAACACCAAAAATTCTAGCAAAGCATTATAACAAGTCAGGAAAAAGCAAATCAATAAATGAAGCATACTTCTCCTGGAATACCAAGACTTCTGTCACTTTCAGCACCATATGCGAGGACAACCTGCTCAAAATGTACAAACTGATATCAAACAGCTGGTAAAACTGATAAATATCCACATGAACATGTTACCATTAACATAACAAATCTAGAACAAGAGCCTCACCACATGATACAAATTGCGTAATTCAGAGAGAGAAATGGTAGATCCAAGAGTCACATTTCCAAAAAATGAGCATCTTTCATGCTGAGCAACCCGTGAAAACTGGTTTATGACAATCTGTTGCAAGTTTTCTGGTAAACTAAGCTCAATGGAGTTACTGTCACCAAAGAAAATAAAAATAATAATAATAATCAAAGGACAACAAGGTGCTATAAAACTCCCACCTGTGCAGGATCTAGAAAAAATTCTCTTTCATTTGCAAGAGGCTAATTACATGAATCAAACATGTGATCCGGGGTCACATTGGATGTGCAGGATAAAATTCCAAAAATATTTTTTTTTTTCAAATTTTCAGTCCAAGAAATGATTAAAAATTGTATTTGATAAAACCAGTTAATCTTTCTGTTCCAGAGAATGAACAGTAGCCGGGAACAAAACAAAAAAAAAAATCCCCTGACACATTTTTTAATAAATGTACACATCTTAGAATCTTTCCCGGAATAGAAATGAATTATATTATCAAACATATTTTTACGCCCATAACTCTTCTGCATAGAAATAATAACATGAGAATACTAAGTCGGAGATTAATATCTCATGTCATATACGGGGTCCACTCATTTATTTATTTATTTTAAAAAAATGGCCCCGTACGCTTTATGTTATGACATCAGATACTAATGAGACTAGTATTTCCCATAATAATAATCTTGAAATACTTATTTTTCTATGTAACGCCACAACTAACAACTTCTACTTCCTCTCCACTGTCTTGCAGCTGAAAAGAGTTTCTACTAGTATCATACATTATAAAAAATTCCAGTGCCAATCAATTTTGAAGTTCAGCAGTTACAAAGGAATGCTGCAAATAAAAATAAGAGCAGACCTTTGTTTCAGGGTGATCGGGTGCAACACCGGACCGGACCAACCCGAAAGGCGTAGGCAACCTATCAATGATGTCAACTTGTGCTTGTTGCTGCGCCTTCAACATCTACACCACGCAATCCAAGTAACCATTTTGGTTAAGGGTTACCCATTTTCGAATTTCAAGCATAAAGAATAGAGCTTTACCTTCTCAGCCGTGTAGAAACCAGCGGGGCCACTTCCAACAACACACACCCGCAAAGGATTCGAAGAAATGCTCGAGAAGCTTCTACCAAGCCACGTTCTTGCTCGGAAAATTGCGAATTTTTGCATTTTATTATCTGAAAAATAAAATATTAAGAAAAAATAAAAATAAAGGGCTTCTATATCTTCTTTCGTATTTGGTTCTTCTGCGCAAAAGGGTTCCCCGTTGAAGATTCGAAGAGCGATGGCCAAATACCAGAGAACATCATCGGACCCGATCCGAATTAATGTATTTCGGGTCTGGGTTGCTTCCTTCTTTACACTTTGTGGGCTCTTTAACAGGTTAGCGTTTTGGGCTTGGCAACAATAATCGTGGTTAGTTTCAGGACCTGCCAAGCCCAAATTCCGTTGGGCCTGACTGAATGAAGGATTTCGGAAAAGGAGTAAAGTTTATTTTTTTTAAAAAAACATTTATAATTTATTTAATTATCATAAATTAAAATAATTAAATAAATTGTATTGAAAAATTATAAAGTAGATTTTACTAGAAACAGATGACTTTTAAAAAAAAAAATATTTTAGTGAATTAAAAAAAAATTGATAACTCTTATACGTATATTAACTTAACTATTATTTTGCATTGAGTTATTCGGACTCAACCTATTATTTTAACAGTACTAACCTTTTGTGAGCTTGGAATGCATTGGAACCGTAAAATTCTTGATACTTTGCAAACCATAAATATGTCTATTTCTGTTGTCATTCTGAGTTTTTTTTTTTTTTTTTTGTATAACCTGGAGGTATTCTCATTCAACCTCCTCCGATCACTTTGCCTTCGGGATACGGTCCTGTAGGCTAGCCTTTCATTGGAACCGTGGGTGCATTGAGCTTCGCTACCGGAAGAAGGATAAGACTAATCCCTCCGTTCCATTCGAGGAGGGAGGCACATCCTTTGGCTCCCAAAGATTTTCCAAAAATTTGCTTGAGGCAGGATTTGAACCCCTGACTCAAGCAAACCCTTGGGAGCTCAGTTGCCAACTAAGCTATCCTTAGAGGTTGTCGTTCTGAAATTTTAGATTATGGAAGAAAAAAGTAGTTCCACTCAGGAAAGATATGAAATTAAATCTAAAAGTGATTGCATGCATGAGCATGTTTAACGGTAGTATATATATTAGCATTAGCAATGTTTAAAAGGTTCCTATGCGTAGGTTACAGATCATTGGAGTAAACAAATTTAACTTTACTAACCGTTAAACTCAATCTTAAATCACACGGCAAAATGATTGAATAAAATACACCCCCTCCCCCTAAAAGGTAAATTTAAAGTGAAAATGATGTATATGCATATATACAGAAGTAGCTGATAAAGGGATTTGTATTTACTTAATACATTGGTGTATGATGAGTTGTATCGAGTAAAGAAGTCAGATATATATTTGTAATTAATACAAAATTGAAAGTGCTTGTACAGGAGTTGGTTGATGAAATCTATTGGATTGTATTAAGTAGAGCTAGACTAATAGAAAGTGATTTAAAAGTGAAGCTTATAGTATCCAAAAAAAAAAAAAGTGAAGCTTATAGGTCAACAAAAGTCCTCAAGAGCGCGATACGCAATCTTATTAAAACAAAAGGACACCAAGAAATGACTAATTTGATTGCAAGGGTTAGCTTAAGCTAAATATAAATACATTGAATATTAAAACTTCTTAATTAATATTTAATACTGGGAGCATTCATGATTTGACAGTGGACGTGTGAGCACCAAGCAACTAGCCCCTTACATTCCAGTGTCCACGAGGAGGAGATAATGGTAAACACTGTTATGTATTTTGGAACAAGAGGGTTTTTTTTTTTATTATATACTATTAAATGTCTACAATTTCAGGTATATAAGTCTCGTTTTAATTATATTTTTAATATTATAATTAAAGAAACTTACCTTTAATGAATCAATTAACATAGAGGAAGAGAAGTCGTACTACTCCACTAGCATACAGAAATTTCACTTTCTCCAAATAAATAAATAAATAAATCAGTGTGTGATGATTACTTAAGAATAAAATAAGCATCTTGAGTAATAAAGATCGGCGTGATATATATTTGTATATTATGGTGCTCTTCAAACTTCAAATTGCTCCCTTTTTTCATTTTTTTTCTTTGTGGCTGAGGACTACCGGTAGCAGAAGTGGGTTTGGCACAAAAGACGCAGTTAAAGAGGGAAGAAAAAACCCAAATCCTTTGGCACAGTTGATTCAGAGACTGTGTTCCCTTAACCAGTGGTCTCGAGTTCGAGCCCTGGGTATGGAAAAAAAGGATTGGGTAGAGCCGCCCTCGCAAAGGTCCTACGGTGCTCGGTTTGGGATTAGTCTCACCCCCGAATGGGGGTGGGGATACCTTTCAGTTTACTGAAAAAAAAAAAAAAAGAGGGAAGAAAAAAAAATGAAATTTATTTGGTGAAATGGACCACATTCGGACTATAAATGGCTCTCAAATTCTCAACCACAAATGTATATATATAGGTATACGTAAAGAGGTCAACTGTAATTTCAAAATTGTATCACTTGGTAATGACAATTATGTATTGTTTGGTGAGATTCGAATGCGCACGCGAAAGAAACTAGTAATGATCAAAATTTTCATTTGATGTTTCCCCAACTAGTAACAGACTAACAGCCCCTGATATATGTTTGTGTAACGTTTAAGAAAGCCGGTATTAGAGAATTAGAATCTTTATTAAATCAAAAAAAAATTCTCCCTCTTTTAGGTTTTCATCGTGTAGTCATTCCAATGAATTTAGCTTTATAGAGTTTTATTCATTTATGAGAGGTTAGGTTTTTTCTTTTATTCCAAACATTTTATTGCACCTTGATTTACTCAAATTGATAATAATTAGTTGTCTTTCTCGTTGGATAACAAGATGGGGAAACATGATTTTATTATGTTGGAAACTGATTAAGAAACAGACTGATTCAAACACGTTAATTACCTGTGACATGGAGATCTTATGAATTAAGTTCTTAGCATTATTAAAATCGGTGAAGAAGATAATCACTGTGCCCGCGAGATACCATGCTTATATTTCAATCCGTACTAATCTATTATTATTATTAATAATAATAACAATGTCCCAAATTTCCAATGACTTATGACACAACAGAGGGCTTGAAAATTGGGTAAATTATATATTATCTCTATGTACATTGTAATTTTCCAATTCTCTCTTTCTTAATTATTCGCCATCACTTCATCTTTTTTTGAATTTTATTTTTAATTAATATAATTATTACAGTTATAACAAATTTATTTTATTTTATAATTTTATCCTTTTTAAGATGTTGTGAAAGCAAGATTTGGTGTAAATATTTGTTATTTATATAGTTTTGTTTTTGAATTGTTAAAATAAGAAATAAGGAACATTTTTTAGTAATTATTAATAAAAAACAAGTTAAAAATAAAAAATAAAAAACGAATATTCATTTATTTTCAATCATATTTTTATAATTTATTAATTTTGTATAAAAAAAATTTAGAGAGTTTTGTGACATAAAGAATTAAAAAAGTTGAAAAAATATAAAATCAGGTAATGTGTAAAATAAATAATACTAAAATTTAATTTCAAAATAAAAAATTCAATTTCAAGGAAATTTAATAATAACAAATATTTGTGATTTTGAAGGATAGTTATTTTTGTTACCAGACACAAATGCTATTGGGCCTAATGAGGCTCGGCCCACTGTAACCTAATAGTCCATAAGTTTGTTACATTCTGTTAGTTAGTTAGGCGATTAGTCTAGAGTTAGCTTAGTATAAAAGTTACTTCTCTTTTGTACAGAAGACATATTTTTCATTCAATAGATCCAGATTTCTATCTTTCCTCTCTCTTCTCTTGATTCTTGCATGGTGATTCCAAGATCATAAGATGGTATTAGATTACATTTTCCGCTTATTTTGTTGTTCGCATCTCTGATTCTTCTGTTCTTTTTATCAGATTTTTTTCTTGTTTTCTTCTTTCCTCTGAATTTTCATTCATGGGGAATCCGAACAATGTTCTTCCTGATTTCTATACAAATCCAGGAAATCCTTTTTTTTTGCATCCGAGTGAAAATCCTGGTTTGGTGCTTGTTTCACCTCCTCTTGATGAGAAAAATTATCACTCTTGGTCCAGATCTATGACCATGGCTCTCTTGAGCAAAAACAAAATCTATTTTATTGATGGGACACTTCCACCACCACCAGATCTTGATCCTTCCTTTCATGCATGGCAATGTTGCAATATGATTGTATTATCATGGATTCATCGGTCCATAAATAGCTCCATTGCAAAATCAATTCTTTGGATAGATCGAGCCAGTGATGCATGGGCTGATCTTCGCGGCAGATTTTCTCACTCTGATATCTTTCGCATCTCAGATTTACAAGAAGATATGTATCGCATGCAACAAGGTGACAGGTCTGTAACTGAGTATTACACTCAAATGAAAATAATGTGGGATGAGCTTGATAATCTCAAGCCTCTCCCTGTATGTAGTTGTGCTAATCAGTGTCTGTGTGGAGGTTATACCTTGATGAAAACCTACAGAGATCGTGATCAGGTTGTTAGGTTTCTCAAAGGTCTTAATGAGCAATATGCTCATGTGCGTTCCCAAGTTATGATGATGGATCCTTTTCCAAGTTTAATTCGAGTCTTTTCTTTAATAGTCCAACAAGAAAGACAAATGCACACTAGTCTTTTGGTTGATGAAAACAGTGAGATCAAGGCTTTTAATAGCTTCTCAGATTCCCAACAACGCCTCAATTTTGGACGAGGCAGGGTTCATAATCCTCCTGCATTTTTCAATAAGGGACGTGTTCCAAGTAAAGTGTGTACTTAATGTGGAAAGCCCAATCACACTATTGACACTTGTTACCAGAAGCATGGTTTTCCTCCTGGTTTCAAATTCAGGAATCCCAAAGCAAATTTTGCATCTCAGGTTAATGTTGATCACATTGAAGGAGTTGATAATCAAGATGGACAAGTTACTATTTCTCAAGAGGAGTATCAGAATTTGATTCAAGGCTTACATTTGGACCCTTCCAATGAAGCCACTCCACTTAGTTCCACGAATCTAGTTCATACTACTGCCATGAATGCCAACACCTCATCCATAACAGGTACATTCTCATCCAGATGGCTCCTTCATACAGGAGCCACTGACCA